ATGAATCAGAATGAACTGTATTGCCCCCATCTAGCCATCATCTAGAATTCTGCAGCTCCTACCGGTATTTACCAAATCTACAATATCTATTATGGGTTCTTTCTGTAGGACCACAACTCTGTAGGACAATTCTTCTACTGTGCAACCCTGCACTATTGGTCCCTTAGGTGAACCAAGAAAGATATTCCCACTGTGGAAGGAACTAATTACAAGCCTTGCTTTTCAATGGAGTTGACATTTCTCTCTGCCATTTGCCTAGGAAGGATCCATAATACTATATCTACATTTGCTATCAGAGTAGATTATACAAAGTTTCACTCAAAACTGGCAGGCTGCACATACAGTAAGAGAAAGTTTGGACAAAATCCCAAATCTTATAGTGGAAAGAGTCAAGATAAAATATAATTGATTCTTTTTTCTTCCATTCTAGTACTCCTCTTCATTTCAAAATATTAGAACTCCCACAATATTATGCCATATACTGTTACTAATGTCTTACTCTTGGCCTTTCTAAAAAAAAAAACAGCCCTATGATAAAGAATAACAGTGGGAACCACTTTTAAGAAATAGAAATAATTTGCATTATTGTATATAAATAGATATATAAAGCTATACACTTGAAGATGCTTTTGCTCAACCTGCATTCACATCTTACTAGTTTTATTTGCAGTGCAATTATAAACCATTGCGAAGAATGTTATATTTTAGCCACAGCAATATTAAGTCATCTACACTCATGATGCTAACAAAGTTAGTCAAAAAGAGCCAACATTCACTTATTCTGGTTCTTAAAAGAGAAGTGGCACAGGTGCTTTGCCTCAAGGGACAAGAGGAAAACAAAGACCCAACTACAGCAACATCATTACATACTTGTCTATGGCAGCAAAATGTATTTGGTGAAGCTCATCTGTAGATAGGATTGCAGCCGCAAATTAGCTTTATTTGAAGGGAAGTCTTCAAAATCATTGGACTCACCTTCATATATTGCCAATGGTGTTTCCTATCTCATATTATATTTGCAAGGTGAGAGAATGTGCTGTTGTTATTATTTACTGAAAGCTGCCTCTCTGTCACATTGTAACCTTTCTTATTTTTATGACAGCTTCTCTTTGGATTTAATGGAAGTCAAGGACACTAGATCCAATGGAGAGACTATTGCATAATAAAAGACAGGACATCAGAATACTTTCATCCATCTAGGAACTAAGCCTTAAAGTTAAGGTCATCTACACTCATGATGTAGATTGCAATATTTACTCTTCCTGGCCAATTCTGGGGCATCAAGAAAGGAAAGGTTGGTGTAGGGGAGCCGCACGTGTGCATCTCCATAAATCAGTGGTGGCTAACCTTTTTTGGCTGCTGTGCCCATAATTGTGTGCGCATGCACGCAGGCGCATTCAGGTGCCAGCACCCAGAAGGTAATGCGTGCTGCCTCCCACGCCCCCTGTGCATATGTATGCGATCCCCCCATGCTCACCATGCATCTGCAAATACATGTGATCCCCCACATATGCGCTGCGCATCTCTGCCCCCACGCATGCACGCCAGATACCCAACAATCAGCTGTCGGGTGGTGGCATGCGCATGCACAGTGGGGCTCTTCTGGGCAAGCTCTCACATGCCAGCAGAAGTGGCTCTGTGTGCTGCTTCCAGCACGTGTGCCATAGGTTCGCCAACACAGCCATAGATGGATAAACAATGCATTTTATCCCACTTTCTTCACTATTGGGGATCAAAGTTTTTAAAAAAATTGTGGCATAGAAATTAAAAGTGAAATTTCACTCAAGGTTTCCAGAAAGTTCTTCAACTATTTAACTGGAAGCTAGGTCCATTGTTAGCTTCTCTCAATCCTCTCTCAACTCTTTCTGCAAAGTTTCTTTGTATACACTCTCCAAAACCCCAAGATTTAGACTAATTTCTGGAGCACTTGGGGGCAGGGGGTGGAAGAGGAAGGGGAGAGTCTGCAATACTTCAAGGATCTCCTACAAAGTGATCTTTTTATTGTAAAAAGAAAGTAACCACCCACATTTTTCCTAGGGGGAAAAAAAAAGCTTTTTGAAAACTTTTGGCTCTGTATCCTTCTAGAATTTTGAGAAATGCAATGTGGTGAGTTGCTAACAATTTCTCTTTCAAACTGAAATTCTTTTGGAAAAAGAAAATTACTCTTAAACTTGGATAAAAGTATACTTGGATAAAACTAACAGTGGGGTGGAGAAGACTCTCTTTAATTTTAGACTGGAAAGAGCCTATCTTCATCCACACCATTATTTTTCCATTCTCTACTACAGGCTAACACAGAATACTGAATAATGTTAGATGACGAGCGTATAGTAGTTTCTCTCAGTGCTACGAAATAATCTTGGTGAATTAAACTGACCACCATTGATTATTAAAAGTTCTGCAATGCTTCCTGATATTTGTGAACTCTGGGTGTGAGCATGTGTTCATCTATCTGACAGCCTTAAAGTTCCTTCTGAGCTTTTGAGAAGGGTCCATAAATGGATTTATCGAATAAGGCACCATTGGTGAATGTGAAGAGTTTTATGCCATGCTTCTGTTGATTGGGCTTCTTTCTTTTCACCCCAACCCCAATCCAAAATCTTGTTCTAAGTAGACACTCTTAAAGCTCTTTAACAAAATTTCTCTCCATTTTCAATGCAGATCAATGCCTTCTTATAGGCCTTTCTTCACAAAATTGTGTATCACTTACACCTCCTGGTAAGTGGGGGGGAAAAAACCCAACAAAGGGTTGAAGTTGAAAGAGTTATGCTAATGATCTGTTTGGTAAATGACAGTGTCCTATGGATAGACCCAAAATCAACAAGATGTTGATTCACTTGAGAATGGATTACATCTTTCTTATCCCAAAATAAGTGATTGTCAGCTAAGCAAAGCAGCAGTGCTTATAAGCAGGGAATCTCTTCATTCCTGTTCTTTCTGTTTGAAGAAGAGCTCCAGGCTTCAAATCATGACTTCTTTTCCTTCAAAGTCCACAGGATGACAAAAATATCTGGGCTACTTCTTGGCATCAAGATTTTTCCACTAATGTCCTCAGCCTCTGTTGCCTATATTTCACATTTCCCAAAATTCTAAAGAACATTTCCTTGCTTCCTGATAATTTAAAAGCTGTGTAACCTCAGTTTGCCCTTAATTTAATCAGCTGTTCTTGTTGCATTCTTTGCATTTTGATAAGACAATTTCTGGGAGAATCATATTAAAATAAAAGTACAGGGGGAAATCTGCTTCCATACAGTATTTAGTGTGACACCATTCCATATTTCATGAGAAATACTAGTTAAATTCTTGTGACAGTTAATAAAAATAAAACAAAGTGATAATATTAAACTGCTATAAGAAACAAAGTTGCACTGAACAATATTTTTCTCATGCTTGTTCCATCCGGCTGAGTTTTAGGAGATTTTTGGAAGGATTTTAGTTTTGAATGTCATAAGTTATGATTGCTAAATGTTTGATGCCACATTCTTTGGTGCCAGCAGTTAGAACCACAACCTCTAACTGCTAGCGAACATGTACAAAGTCTTTGATTGCATTTTGTTGGCAAAAATTGTTTTTCAAGTTTGTTTTAGGAGTATGACAGATGTTCTCCTCTCATCCCACAACTTTTCAGATGAAACAAATTGTCATGCTTACAGCTTAACAGCTGCAAAAAAGAAATATCTAAAAGGCAGGAATCAAGTTGAGATATAGCAGAAAAAGAATTGCATCTTTAGAGTTGTACAAAGAGAACATTTAAGTTCTTCCCTATGTTTTGCTTCAGCTACTTTTAGTCAGCATTTCCCCACTAACCATAAGATAGTGCTCTAATCATGACTGGTTTATCGCTGATAGGAATCTGCTTTTATAAGAATATGTTTTAAGAGAGAGCAATTCAGGTCTTAGTTTAGTTTAATATGTCTCACAGGAGATGGATAAGTTATTTTGGTTGCAGTTTTGTTTATCTAAGCTATAGGTTAAAAAACAGTAGGAAATATAGCTGTCCCCAAAGTTATTTCTACTATCAGTACTTTCTAAAGGAAGAAGTGATGGCTAGGTTTAGGACATGCTAATTCTTCCAAAAAATGTTTTAAAAGATCTAAACAAATTAAATATTGGATCAGAATGCTTATCTCAGAATGAATCTGCTATGCCTGCTGAACAAAAAGTGATCTCTCCATTGTTTCATAATGGAGAATCCCTTATTCTCCCACCACAGTTATTTAGATTGTTCTTAAGATTTCCACCCTCAGGAGGGGACAAGTCCTACTTTACTTCTTAAATGCTTTATTCCATTTTCTGAACCCCAGAAGGAGTCGATGTTCGGATGGGGGAGTGGGGGGAAGAAGATTTATTTTTTATATTTTCCAATAAGATCGATTGTCACTGCATGTTCCTGAGCACAAACAGAGCGCCCTGTCTTCATGCTAAATAGCCACCCCCAGCGATTTCTACGAAACAAACAGGCTTGACCCATTTTACGAAGGGAAGAGGGGTGTGTGAAAAAGGAACCAGACTTTAAAGCAGGAAAAGGCAAAAAAAACCAACAACCCCAAAACCGGCGGTGGCTTCCAACAGCCCGGTGGTGCAAACTTTTCCTATTCCTCTATTTCCCAGAGAGATCATTGCAAGCCGAGGAGGGAATCTCCCTGGCCAAGTGTGAAATAAGGTAGGGTTGACAGAGAAGCGTGCAAGGGGCGATTTAGGTAAAAAATAATACAAATCATGAAAGGCGAGGGGGGCAAAGGGAGATGAATAGTATCGACGACCACGGGGAGAATTAGAAAGAGAGAGAAAGAGAAAGAAAGAAAGAAAGAAAGAAAGAAAGAAAGAAAGAAAGAAAGAAAGAAAGAAAGAAAGAAAGAAAGAAAGAAAGAAAGAAAGAAAGAAAGAAAGAACAAGTGTTTTGGATTCTGCGACCAAAGAGAGTAAGTGAACAATCCCGAGAAACCTCACTAGTTCCCCGGCGTTTACTCTTCCCAAAAAGCGCCCAAAGGTGCACTTACCCCGGTAACTGTTTCCGGGCTTGTAGAATTCCGGATCGCCTTCCACGCGGAGGCTAAATTCATTATACCCTTCCCTCCTCGTGCCTTGGGCTCGCAGGATCCGGCTGCAGTAGCCTTCGGATTTCGAGGCTCTCTCTAAGGTGTCGTCCGCCAACGAAGCCAATGTCACCAGCGGGAAAGTCCAGGCGAGCAACTGCAGGGCTCGGAAAGCAGCCGGATAACGCCGGCAATGTCCCATCCTGCGCGGGCGCCTCCAAACCAACTTCACCAATAAAAGCAGCAAAACGGCTGGGCTGAGCTGTGGCTGCCGAAATCACAACACGGACAGGTTGAAAGAGATGGCTGGGGAATGCCTGCCCCCCTCCCCCCAGACACACACACACACTCCACAGCCACCCCACTACCACCTCTCCTTTCTCGTCTCCGGAGAAAGCGAAAAACAAGCCAGGGGAGAAAAAAAAAAACCTAACCAACGCAGCCTTTAATCAGTTGCAGCTCAAGGAGGTTTTCTCCTTTCCTCTCCTCTCTTCTCCTCCCCACCACCTCTCCAAAGCCTGGAGAGAGAGAGCGAAAAAGGCAAAGGGATCCTTCTTTTGCACGGCTTTCTTCTGCTCGATGGGAAAGGATCCGCTTAAGCCTTTGCCAAGGCAAAAGACGGGGGGGGGAAAGAGCAGAAGGGCTGATCTTGCCCAGCTGCGAAGTGAAGTGCGGTTTTGTTTCGCAGACCTTGTAATTTAGCAGCTCGCTGGTGTTTACTTAAGTCCGGGCTCAGTTCGCGGGGGTCGGCGAAATAGCAGAGCTGGGTGGGTTGGTTGCGGGGTACGGCGCTGTTGTCTCCAAGACGCGAGAGTGTATATGTGGGTGTGTGGTGTGTGGTGTGTGTATGCGGGCGCTTGGATCGAACGGCAGAGCCTCGGAATTAATCACCTACATTCCTGCCTTAGTCAAAAGAAACTCTTGGAGAAAAGAGCGAGCGGGAATGTTCTTATTGACCGCTCTCATTCGCCCGGCCGCCAGACACTGCAAACATTTGTTGCCGCCGGTTTCTCGGAGCAGATTGACCCCGAGATAGTCACCCTCCGTGACATTAAGCCCTCCCTCGTTTCTAGGATCTGGCTGGCGTAAAGTTTCCGAAGAGCAAACTTTAATTGCCTCGAGGAGAAACGGTAGGGGGGAAATGCACAACCCGAGAGGTAGTCTTTGCATGCTACGTGTTTACATGGAAGTCAATCTCCTTGAAGGATTAAGGAGAGACTTGCTGTAAAGATACTCGGGACTGTCCTAAATTGGAACTTTAAGCTCCGATCTAGTCCCAAAGCGAGGCGGGGTACCCAAGCCTAGTGAGCAACCACTTTCATAACCTCCCCATGGAAGAAAATATACAGACACTCACACACACACACACACACACACACACACACA